CGGACGACATAACAGACCCAACACCCTACTTCCCCGATTCCGACATCAGCAGCTTGCGTACCTTCATCCGTGAACTAGTCACACAATCCATAATACCCAACATGGAGCGCAGCGTCTCAACCTGGAATGAGCAGATCCTGTCCCGACGCCGCGGCCTGTCTGGCCGCTTCATGTCTCTATCAAAACGTTGGACACCCTTTGGCGGCTCAAGAACCTCCTCATCATCCTCGACTGCATCAGGAAACTCCAACTACGACAGCCTACAGGGTTTTTACCGCCCCGACGCCCCCGAAGCCATCATGCGACGGCTAGCAGATTACTGCTTTATGCTGCGCGATTGGAAACTGGCATTGAGCACTTATGATATCCTAAGGACAGACTTCCAAAACGACAAAGCATGGCGGCATTACGCTGGTGCTGCTGAAATGGCCGCTTTGTCGGCTCTCATGGCACCCACACCACTATCCTCCAAGTCCCGCGCTGAGAACATCGATGCGTGGATAGAAGCTGCATCGTACTCGTACACCGACCGCCAACGCAGCGCAGCGCCGTACTATGCTCTCCGCACCCTCGCCCTCAGCTTCGAGCTTCTGCGCCTCCGTGGCTCCTCGGCCGCAGACGACGCCGCACGCTGGGCAACCCGCATTCTGGAAACAGGTCTTGTAGGCTCGATAGGTCATGCACTCATCACCGAACGCATCTCGGCTTGCTATGCTGTGCGCACTGGCGTGGGCATGTATAAACTAGGAAGCCGACGTCGGAAAGCAGCGCTTTGGGCCGTGCTTGCCAGCGAGAACTGGTACAGACTGGATAAGTCGCAGCAAGCGGAACGCGCCCTCGACACAGCGCTCAGGCTATACAACACCCAAGCTGAGAACGCCGATGGAGGAGCGGTTAGACTCCCATTCGAGGACATGCAGCGATTTGTGGATGAGTTGAGACAGCAGATCATGGGCTTGAGGCTGGCAAATCAGGGCTATGGTAGCGAGCATGGAGAGGGCGATGAGGACGGTAGGCAGAGTCCGGAGGTGGAAGAGGAAGCTGAGACGTTGGATAAGAGCCCGCGGTTGCATAGGAAGAGCTTAATTGGGGTTCAGGTGCCACCTGTTGATATGGCGGGGCCTCTGAGTCCAGCGCTTGAGAGACCGAAGGGCGAGGTGGATGCCAAGGGCGAGGGCTTTGAATAGACGGTAGATATGCATAATGCTCATGACGATCAAGACGTACTCATGAATGACTTCACGCATGCCGAACATCACTCACACAAATCAAGTAGCGACAAGTCAACAGCAGTAATGGTTTCTCATTTCTAGGTTCAGTCATATCCCAAGAGATGAGCCATCATCATCCATGTGGAAACGCAAGCGTAACCCCCAAACGCCAAAGCCAGTGAACAGAGCGCGGCCCAAGCACTTTGGCACCCGTCAGTCATGCTGGCATATGCAACGATGTGTAACAGACAGCCCCTGCCAATGCTCGTATGCTATGCAAAGAAGGAAAAGGAAAATAACCCGGGAATAATAAGCGCCCAATGTTATGCTGGGGTATCATCGTCAGCGTCATCAATATGAACCGTGAATCGGTGTCCGTCGTCGTAAGGCCATGATGCTACCAAGCCTACTAGGCGGTAGCAGCGGGTGTGGTCTCTGCCACGGCAACACTCTTGGGTGCTGCAGGAGCCGGCTTCTTGGGCTCTGATGGGGTTTGTGTGGAAGGTGGTGCGGGCGTAGGCGCGCGAGAAGTCGTGCAGGATGGAGTAGGGGAGGAAGTATCTGAGGTGCGAAGACCGCGGAGCTTGATGGTGAGCTTGACCTTCACGGGCTCTGGTTGAGGAATTTCAATGTTGGACCGCTGCGACGCTGCGAATCCGTTTGATTCATCTGACGAGCTCTCAGTGCCCTCTGGTGTAGAGTCGGAGTCGAAGAGCGGCAGAGGCGAGCGGCGCTTGCGTGAGCGGCGACGCTGGTCATCGTCGTCACCGTCGACACTAGGGCTAGGCCGCTTCTTGGAGATGACCTGGGGTACGATGTTGACGTCAGGGGGGCCGCTGTGAGGTCCGGCGATATTGCGGACGGAAGAGTAATGCTCCCAAGTCTAATTTGGACGTCAGCACTGTGCCAGCGGGGTAGTCAGTGGTGGCATGACTTACGTGATAGGCAATGTGAAGTGTCTGGCGGCTGTCCTGAGCAGCCAAGTCCTCATTCGACGTGTAGCATGTGCGGGGCGAGAAGAGGTAGGTGTAGTCAGCCTGCCAGAGGCGGACGTTGACGTTGAGGGCGGAGGCAAATGCTGAGACTTCCATGTTGTCGGCCCACTCGCCGGGCTGGCCCATCTTCTCGACGTGCTCTTCAAACTGCTGTTGCAGCTGCTCGTCGGTGTAGCATGTGGTGTCAAGGCGGTTGGCGGCAGCTGCAGCAGTCTTGCGCTTGGGGTTCCGTCGCACCGTGTTGCAGGCCATGTACTGGCGGTAGAAGTCCGCGCTGTCCTTCATGTGCTCTATGGTGGTGGTGCGCAGCACCTCGTGCATATCTTGGTTGCCATAGAGCTGGTCAGACAGGGCGTTGAAGAGGCAGTTGCCTTGGGCGAAGTCAGCCTTGAACATGGGAATATGGGGTAATTCAGCTCACCATCGCCGCGGATCTGGCTGGCATACAGGGCATTGGCCTCGAGTATGGGAAATTCAGGCGAGTTGGCCCGCTGTCTTCGGGTAGCCATATTGGTGGTGGTGTATCAAGCGTGCGTGTTGGACAGGAGAAGTCGGTGTAATGCAAAGAGGAAGGCACAGGAGTGGGGTGACGGGGTCATGGATGAGGGTTGAGCTTAGGTGCGACAGTTGCTATTGTAGAGAGGGCTGGGCCGGCCACGCCAAGTTGGTGAAGGTCGTGGCCGGTGAACGTGAATGATGAATATCTTTGTGACGCGCCCGAACTCTTGAGGCTCTCGAAGGGACACGGCGACAGGGATGGCTCAGCTTGGCGGGTCGCAGGAACAACGATCTCCGCCCCGAGTCAGGACAGCTCGCGCTCAGGAGCCTGGAGAAGTACAATCAGACGTCAGCCAACCAGACACCGGGACAGCGCCTTCTTGTACTTTTCAAACGGCAGAAACTAAAGCTCCAGATGGTACGGAAAAATCTTCGGCCTACATACCTCGGAGCCTGCAATGATGTCACGGACCACAGAGCTCCCCCAGCTAGCCGATGGGGCAGGCCCGACTGTTTTTCGCGATATATCGGCGGTGAAGGGCAAAAAGCGCGTGCAAGTGGGCGAGGACCGAGTTTGCTCAATATTCTGGACAATAGCACCAAAGTGAAGGGGGCCGGGGCCAGCGTTATAATAGCTTTACAATGGCAAGCAGGCCAGTTGGTCAGTAAACAAAGCTCGCATGTGCGCACGCGTTTTGTCTCGTGTGCGGGAAGGAGCCAATAGGCGAGCCGGGGATACAAGGCATGACCCCGCCATCCTCATCAGGCTCCGCATCCACGGCGATAGCAACCTTGGAAGTCCTGTTCAGTCACCCCACGGCATATCACGGGTGCGTCAAGGCAGCCATCGCTCTGACTCTGAGCTGCCAGCATGGCCAACCAGAAGAGTGTCGTCGTTGTCGGGTAAGCTCGCCTATCAATGCTGTCATGATATTTTGTGTTGCCCCTCCACGTCCCGTGGTAATGTGTACTCATCCTCGCCTATGACTCTCCAACATGTCTAATCCGTCTTGGGCGGCAACCTCAAGACCGCACTAACACCACCCCAGAGCAGGCGTCATCGGCCTCTCCACAGCCCTCGTGCTCTCCAAGCACAAGGACCTCAGCGTTACCGTCGTAGCCAAGCACATGCCCGGCGACTACGACATAGAATATGCATCACCCTGGGCTGGAGCAAACTACTTCCCTGTTGGCAAGCCAGGCTCGAATTTGCAGAGGTTCGAGAAAGCTACTTGGAGTGAGCTTGACCGAATCTGTCGTGAACTGCCGGAAGCGGGCATACATTACCAGGCGACGAGGGTCTATGGACGAGAGAAAGATGCAGGCACCGCTACGGGACAGTGGTTTGAAGAGCTGACCAAAGAAGACGCATGGTTCAAGGACGTTGTGCCGAATGTATGTAGTGCCTACCCCAACTCGGTTTTCATACATTTATCTACGTTGCTTGTGTGAAGCCATGCTGATGCTTCTTAGTTCCGCGTACTGTCCAAATCAGAACTCCCAGAAGGCTGTGACAGGGGCACGGAGTTTACTTCAGTATGTATAAACACTGCTGTCTATCTTCCCTGGATCTTGGGACAGTGCGTGAAGGCCGGTGTGACCATCAAGCGCGGTATACTCTCCCATATCTCTGAAGCAGGCAGCTTCCATACCTCGGGGCATGCAAATGCCGTCGTGAACTGTTCTGGTCTTCTAGCCGCCACACTCGGAGGCGTCATGGACAGTAATGTGTACCCTGGACGTGGTCAAATTGTCCTAGTGCGGAACGAGCCTGGTGTCATGGTGACAGTAAGCGGAACCGACGATGGCAGTGAAGAAGCTACGTATATTATGCAGCGCGCAGTCGGTGGTGGAACAATCCTCGGAGGCTGTCTACAACACCACTCTTGGGAATCGCAGCCTGACCCCAACCTCGCACAGCGCATCATGCAACGCTCCATCGACCTATGTCCGTCGCTCGTACCGAAGACCGGAAAAGTGACCGAGCTGAGTGTCATTAGACATGGTGTTGGTCTGCGCCCTATGAGGACTGGAGGTCCAAGGGTCGAGAGAGAGAAGATTGATGGAGTTGAAGTAGTGCATAGCTACGGGCATGCTGGCTATGGATACCAAAGCGGCTGGGGAAGTGCGTGGGAAGCAGAGAAGCAGGTGTTGAACATCCTGAATGAAGACGGGATAAAAGCGAGACTATAAGTGTGCCCACGGAGCATTGATTTGGCCGGCCGTGGTAATGGATAGTAAGAGACAGCTATCGAAAGGGCGGGCTATAGTAACTCTGTCCGGGTTAAACCCCTCCTTACCGGAACTTCCTTGGTTTCTTCGACCCAACAACGTTCAAGACTGTCTTCCTTCTCCGGAGATGACCTGGTCCCAGAGGCCGTGTGTCTGCAACCTCGCCATCGTCTACCTTTTCCACGTCTTTTGGCTTTCGTTTCCAGGCACGCCGCCCGCGCGATATCTTCTCTGATCCCCACGCAGCATCACCCATCGCGCGTACTTTAGCCCACATGTACGTTCCGTGATATGCGATCGTCAAGGAGAGTCCTCCAATCACCGCTGTGGCGGGAATGGCAATGGCCCAAAAGAGAGCTTGCGAGCTGCTCATGTCTCTTATATCCGTAGTGTTCATGCCGAATACGGAAGAGATGAAAGAAAGAGGAAGAAACACGATTGTCACTAGAGTAAATACTCTGATGGCTTTCGAGTTGCTTTCTTCTGAGACTTCAACGTTGTGGCGGAGCACCTCTTTGGTCCTATCGAACAGTGCCTGTGTTTCTCTTACTCCTGTAGAAGTTGCTCCCATGTTGACAGCGTTGTTGTGATTTTGGTTCATGAGGGGGATCACGATGTCTCTGTCGGCTCTGAAACATTCTTTGGTGGCTATGCGATAGGTGGAGGGACCGATGATGTCGTAGAAATCCCTGATCATGCTGCGTTGTTGAGCGCAGATAGAGGCTACCATCTCGAATTCCTCTTCCAAGAGGTACAACTCTCGGAGGGCAAGCTTAGATGGCCGACGGCTAGCTTCGTATTGCTATGTCTTGTTAGTGTGTAATTATCTGGCTGACCTAAACAGTGCACATACCATTTTCGAAAGATGCTCTCGGTACAAGTCAGGTACAGACGAGTCGTGCAATACCGCTCTTGACCAGAGATGGAAGAGGCATATGAGCAAAGTAACCTCAGGCGTACTGCGGAAGTTTTGTACAGCTCCCCGGTGGCTGCCAGTATGCGCCATGATCAGTAGCTCTTTACGCGCTGACGAAAGTGTAGTAGAAGCTGCTGAGCCGAAGTATGAAAGCAGATCCATGTGAGTCTTGAGCTCCTTCCACGAGATGATGGGCATCGCGTCGGCCAGATTGAGTTTGTGCAACTCAACAACACTATACCCGCAAGTATCGATCATCTGCAAAATCATCTCTGCCGCTTTTACAAGCGATAGCGGTAGGAGATACTCGCTCGGCTTTTCGTTTCTCTCATTGGCGACACTGTTGCGTATATCAATTGCTTTGGATCGCAACGTCTCGAGGCGCAGTGCCATTGCACTGAGATACTCGACAATGAGCTCGTTTTGCTCCTCCACACCAGCTAGCTGAGATGACATAACCCAGTGAGATAGCTGTGTTCGAGAAAAATGTGATGATTGATTCGTATCGCTGACGTGAACGCGCCGCAGATGTTCGAAAGCTTCATCTGCGCTTGAGTAGTACCTTGCGCGCTTGCAGAAGTCACACTGATTTATAGGAGAACATAGATCAGTAAGCTTGTGAAGCCTCAAGTATTCTTTGTGAGGAATCTCACGGATCGCGTAAGTTGAAGATGGCTCTGACTCCTCCAGCTCTTGATATACAACATTCTTGACGCCCATATAGCCAACGATCTGCCAAGGTCGTGTGAGTAGTAAGCCAAAACAGCCTTTCGGCGCATTAAAAAGGAGTCATACCTCGATGATAAACCTCAGTACACCCCAGCATCTGCGCAAAAGCTGATGATCGTAGTATTTTGGTACAAATTGGTCCACGATCTCCATAGTAGAGTGAAAAACGCGTTGTGCGTGTTTGTGCATCAGAGCCATTTGCCATTGGGTGACTCTTCTCGCCGTGACATAGGTCTCCGCTTCTGAATCAGTTCTGACATCAGCTGTAATGTCACTGTTAGTAATGCCGGTACCTGATTCGAGTGAATTGGAGAGGCCATTTGTGTCGTCCATTACAGTCAGCTCGTTGCGTTCGGTTGTATTTCCAACGACTCTGGCACAGGCCCTATAACAGGCCGCTAGTGATGTCAAGACATCATCGAGGGAAGACTCTTTATTGGTGAGTCGTACACCTAATTGATACGCGTGGACAAATGAATGCGTGAGATCGATTGGTAGTCTTGCTGCATCCGTCCGCGGCCTGGTCAGCTGCTGTTCGATAGCAAACAGAGTAAGCTGTATATGGGTACTCTCATCAATATTCTGCTCTGACGGATCCTCTCTTGTTTGCCATGCAAGGAAAGGTGGCACACGAAGACCGGTATTCAATCTTGTAAGCTTGGGACTTGGGGAAACTTCTCGCGTCCGATACGTCGTGGCTGCGCGATTTCTGTCCACAGTTTTTCCGCGTGAAGCTCTATCGTTCTGTTCAAGTAAGCATGATTTCACTTCGAATCTCCGTCAGCGAGTGCGTACATGTTCGGACGGAGACGCATCCATTGGCGGATTCTGCTCTTGTCGCTCTTGTGTTTGAGCGCGCGATCCTTCTTGACGCTCCCTTTCGAGATGCGCCTCTATACGACGGTCGCATGTGTGGTTAATCATCGGCAGCAAATCCTCTGTTGTCAGGTGTTGGAAGATGATCCAGAAGTTAGGATCAAGTATGTCATGCTGGAATCGCAGATTGAAGTGAAGCAAAGTAGCCCTATCGAGTTGACTAGTCGGTACCCTGGTATAGTTAGGTAGAGATCGCTCTTCTCTTCCGGGTGCTGTGTCGGTTCCTTGTTTGATGATGGCTTCGATAAGATTTGGAAGGAGGCCAGACTTGGCGAGCCGATTGCGGAGCTCAACTTCTAGTTGCTTTTGGACATCTCGGTTGACTTGATCAGTGTTGTGCCTCAACGCAGCAGCAACTTCTTCACTTATTAGTCCTTTAAGGTCTTTGACTTGTAACCCCACAAGATCCCTTAGGTCTCCAGGGTTATCCTCGATACCGAGACGTCTCTTTTCTTCCTGGATTATATTCGCATCATCCTGTAGTCGTAGATCTGATTTAACGAGCTCTTCCCCTTTTACGTCCCCTTTGAATGATCCTGGGGCATCTTGTGTGGCAACGTGCAAGTTGGGTTGACTTTGTGAAAAGCGAGCTTTGGCTTTTACTCCAGGTTCCACGCCCTCTTCACAATCTGATATCGCATTCCGTGTCGCTCCTAACGTGGCCTCTTCTTCTTCAGACTCAGGATGATCTCGCTCGTTGATTGAGCGAGATGATGATGAGAACGAACCCTGAGCATCTTTTTCTGTGTATCCTTTCGTATCGTAGACATCAGGCGCAAGTTCGAAAGAGCCGGAAGGCTTTTCTTCGTCTTCTATGTCGATGATGTCAGGTACATGAGACTCCCTTGAACTGTGCGGCGACTCGACTGCATCACCAACCAATGATGTACTACTGACTCTTTCCGCGAACGATAGAGCCTCACCAGCAAGCTCTTTGGTGCCAACAATGGATGCATACGAACTACTGCTGATTTGAACCGCATTTTCGCTCTCATACGTAATGGCCCTGGCAACATGAAGGCCATCTTGTGCAAAAGGCGGCCTTACCATACGTTCTGGACGGCGGAAGATGATCGGCTTCGGGCTAGTAATAGGGTTGCTGCCACCCACGAGCGAGTCGGGGTCATTCACGACATAACCTTGCCTTGCTAAAAGTTCACTGGTTGCGCCAACGTATTTCGATTGGCGACTCTGCTCGACATCGTTGCTGTATAAAGATCAGTGGGAGGCCAAGAGTGGATTCATTCGACTGGTGACCGCTTACAAATGTCGCCTTAGGATAAGTGCTTTAGTCTTATCTTCATCTGTTGAGTTATGTTCGGAGCTTAGATCACCATACTCAATCTTTCCTTGTTCACTACGTGAACGATCGATCAAGGACATATCCCTACTCGTGCTCTTCCGATTGAGACGCAAAACGATCATTGCAGATCGTTCGGATTTCATGATGTGTGGCCATTGGTCTGCCTCCAGTACTGAGTCATCTGACCCCAGATGTATGACATAGTCTTCACTATCTTCTTCGCTGTCTTCGAGACACTTGCTCTCAATGTTACGACGTAGTGCGACGTATGTTGAGCACAGCTTGAGCGGTACGTACGTGACTTGTCCGTAGAAATCGGTGACCTGAACTAGACTGGGTCCGTCTGTACGAAGGTAGTCCCCAGAGATAAACTCAACACTGCCGTCGAAGAGTTCGTGGAGAGCACTCGGTCCGCAGGTGATAATAAGGTGTGACTGTATGATCATGGACCAGAATTGGGGAACCCGGAGAGTGTCTCCCCTTCTTACACCCTTGAACTTCTTGAACATTTGTTCGTCATCCCGACCCTGTGCAGCTTCTTGCGGATATGTATACTGGGACAATCCTCTGCCGCAGCATCCAGCAACACGTCAGTAAAGTAGTTTGCTTATACGAGCCGTTGCGAGCTGCAAACTTACCGAGTTTCGTGTAGTGATGTGTCTTTTGGTGCACGAGAGGGATGGAGCGCACCAATGTCAAAGTACGGAAAAGCAACAAAGATAGCAGATATGTCAGGTTTGTGGGCTTGTATAGGATCGGTTCCGTCGCATCGCAGTACTGTGTTCGGCCGTATATAGCTGCCGTGTGAGGTTCGCTCTGTGCATTCAACCTTGATGTGTTTCAAAAAAGAAAGCACAACCGGTATGGCGTGTTCATCGTAGTCAAGCGCAAAATGGGTCGCGACTTTCTTCCATGATCGTTAGATTGCTGCCAGTGGTCTAGGGGTAGAAGCGTACCTCAAACGCATCGAAATCTATGCAGTGAGTTTGGATATGCCTGCATGTCGTTAGCATGACGCAACCATTGGAAGAATTGACGTACAACCAGTGTTCAGATCTCGCATCATTCGTTCCACTGGTGTCCCGTTTTGACCTGGTAACGATCCGAAGCCGTTGAGCTTCTCCGTCAGCTGGGGTATAGACCATCGATGCTGCGACAGCGAACTTGTCCTGATCGTATTTCGAGGCCCCTTGAAATTGTGTTGTGGCTCGTTTTGCAGCCAACACACTTTGGTCTAATCTGTCGTTGTTCAGCGGGATTTTGATGATTCGTTCATCATCGGCGCTGTAGCTCGAACCATCCGCGTCTTGCGACATGGTATCGGCTTCTTGTGGATGACGATTAATTGTCGATCAGGATTGAAGTGGGAGGTGCAACACAACTCGGGACGATGTTAGAGGAGGGAATGCGCGTTGACACAAGCGCCCGTCCATCTGTGCCACCGAACACTAAGCGGCCCCCAGCCCCCACCTTCGCAGCAGGGTATAGCGCCCTGCAACGCCTCTACAGTACATAAGAATTACAGGGTATAGCGCCAGACTTTGATAGGCCAATGGTTAAATGCCCATGGTCATTCGCGCCACTCATCACAGCTGGAAGACAGGGGCGATTATCGTACTCCGCGTAAGGGGCAATCAAGGACAGAAGACGTGCCAGCTTGAGCAGAAGGCTCATATCGCTTGAGTAATGGACCAAAAAAACCAGATTCAAGATGAAAGGCATAGAAATTGCGTTAAAGACCAAGAGTCGTATGTTAATCGCAGGTAACATGTACTCAGCATGGCGGTTGAGCCGCTGTTGTCGCGAAGCATGTCTTGATCTCATCTACGGCTGGCTTCAGACTCTTCGATGGTAATGTCCAGTCGTGACGCTTCAACCCTCCTTCGTGAGTCAAGTACCAGAGAGTCTCCGCTGTTGTGATGCGTACCTAGACCTCATTAACGTAAGCCAGCGGCAATAGATTGTCTTATGCATACCTTCGGGAATGGATGTAACAGCATGCTCACAGCTTTGGCTAGCGTATCGCTCCTGGTCATTGGGATGACGCCTAAGCCCCGATACACATCCAGCGCGAGGTGAAGCTTTTGCATATGCGTGGACTTGAAATGTGCTTTCTGCGTATATGAAAGAAGTGCTCGGAAACTAACACGGTTAGCGCATGCGCATGGTTAACACCAAAAGGCGATCCTTACTTGAAAGAGGTCGACTGTAGACGCTGCATGACCTGCATATCGAACAAGAAGGCTATGACCTCTAATAGCGGGAGCAAAACTCTATCATTGCTGATATTGTTCTTCAGGAGTGTCAGGACGCAGTTTGCAAAATCAACTAAGGCAAACTGCGTAACGTCGGATGTATCTTCGTCTTGTAGCATATCGACAAAGTCTAGCAAAGCTGCTCGTGAGTTCTGAACCACGGATTCGGAGCCCATCCCCGCGGAGCTGACAAAACCAACACAGATAGCTTCTCTGATCGCGGGGGTTTTCGCTGTTTGTAACGACATTAGTGCGTTCAGGAAGTAAGTCCGAGAGGAGACCTCGTCTGTGGTTGCGCCGCCGGCTTCTCTCAGCTGAAGGACTTGAGCGGCGTTCATGCGCATCTTATCAAGCTTCTCGAGAGATAGCCGAACGATGTCGGCGTAGATATCGTACTCGCGTTCATTGCGTTTCTCGGTGAGTATTCCATTTGCCCAAGCCAAGCGCACGGTATTCAAGGCCTCGAGTCGGACGAGTGACCCGACATCTCCCCGTTCTGTAATGGTGTAGTCGTTAAGTGCAATGTGCAAGGCGCTCGCGATCTGGTCTTCTACATCGGCAGCAAGCTGAGTTGATTTAGGGTTCTTGCTTCCAAGCAAACAACGCAGAGCACGTAATGCCACCGTTCGGGCCTCGATTGCCACAGCTGATGTGCACCTGAAAGTAAGTACCTTTACGATCCGCCGCTGGAGGGCATCCCTTTCAGTATCGGGTGCCAGGCTGTCCAAGCTGCCATGCGCAGCTCCCAGGGCGATCGCATGCCCGGAACATCGCGACCCATTGTACGATGCTTCATTTTCCAAACGCAGCAGCCATGACATCACGACGCCAAATGTGTCAGACCCCGGTAATCTAGGTAACAATGAGACTACTGCAGGAACTGCGGTAGCAATAGCATCGAGGACTGATTCCTCATGACGCGCGAGACAAAGGTCCAATAAATTACAAACCTGTGCCACGGGTAGGTTTGAAGGCCAAAGCTTGCTGAGAGTCCCATTGGTGAGTCTCGACATTGCTCCGATAATTGCACAAACTGATGATGCGGTGAACTGGGGTCGCAATGCCGGCGAAGTGAATGCCTTGTCTTCAAGCTCTAGTTCTTTTGAGAATAAAGTCCAAAGAGCCATCAAGGACGCATATGGGTTTTCGGGCGCTTGTTCCACATGCATAGCTACTGTCGTGTCAACGAGGGTCGCAAGGGCAGTCACCAACCCTTGACGCTCTTCCACCTCGCGAGGACGCAACGCCGCAAGCTTGCCGCGGACCTGATCAGACATCTTCTGCACTACCGCAGGCGATCGAGCCTTAGAAAGAGACCCGATGGCCTCAGCTGCAAACAGACGTGAGTCTGAATCCAACGAGCCGGTTCCTCTCCAATCTAAGAGACCACCGAACAGGGCCTCCCAGTACAGAGACTGTAATTCTCCAGCCTTGATCGCCACGTCGCACATTGCGCGCTGGCGGAGCCCGACAGCGTGGAAGTCAACTATCTGTACGAGCGGTATGCCCTCTTCTATTGTATTGGGGTGGCGACCTATAAGTTCTTGAAGCGCAGCAGATGAGCCTCTTCTGATGTTGCCTGCTGGATCGAGACAAGCAGCAACTACCAATTCGATTGCCAGCACTTGAGGGACGTGTAATGATCTGAGGTGCTCGGAAGCCCTTATTGTCGCGGTTTCGACCGCAAGGAGGTCAGTGGTGGGGTAGCGGCGAGAGAGCGCCCAAATACCGAAGCAAGCTGCATCGCGTACGTTCGTACCAATGGACCCTCCAGTAGGCGACCGTTGCTCAAAGCCGAGGGAAAGTAGGAGAGCGTTGAGAACGTCCGCCAAATGACCGGTAGAGATTGCTTTCCGATAGAGAAGCTGAGCCAGCGTCAAAGTCAAACCGTGCCATCGGAGTGGGTTCACGCTGTTCAAATTGCGCTTGGACCCCTGCCAGTAGATGTTCTCTGTGAGCGAGCCAAGTATTGCTTCGACAACCTCGCTGGCCATCTCCGCGTCCAATTTGAGAGTGATGATGCTGAGCGCCTTGCTAGCACCGTATCTGACTGGCGTGTCACCATCCGCGAGTGCTTCAAGGAGAAATTCGATGACTTCTTCCAATACCACGGTTGAATCGAGTCCAGGAAGGGTTGACGTCGCTTGTAGGCAATGCAAAACGACATTGCGCAAGCTTTTCACGACCAGCTTTCGGGCCACAGCTGATGACTTGACAAAGGCGAGACTCTCCTGATCCAAAATCTTCCTACAGGATAGGTATATGGCAGCAAGGAAAGGGCCAAGCTCTTCATTCGTAGCGGAGGCCAATAGCCCTGACAAGAATGAGAGAACCCCAAGACACTGATGTATGTCGGTCTTCTCTTCGGATATGTCTGTGAAGAAAGACAGCGACCATTGGACCATGGCATCCAGTAAACCTAGCTTTTGCATATCTGGTCGCACGCATGTCCTCACTAGGAGACTTGCAGCGGCGCTTCTTTCCTTTGTTGGGGATTGAAGCCCCGACATGCACAGAGAAATTACCCGAAGAGTGACACCTGGAAGTTCATCCGGGAGCTTCAGCCCAAGAGCTACAGGTGTTTCTGCAGAAACTTGCAACCCAGACATAGACTCCAGGGGAAAGGGCGCGAGTAGTAACTGTGAGAGCCATAAGAGCAGCACATAGCGCTCTATCCAGGGACGAGCTGTGTCCTGCAGTAGGGCATCGGTATTTTCAGATTTAACAACCCCAGTCGCTTCTAACTCGCCCAAGATCGCTTCGAGATGACGTGGTTCGTTATTGAAGAAGCCTTTGGCGACCTTTTCGCCTCGGACTTTACAGAACGTATTCAAGACGGAGCATATGGCGTATGCAAGAGTCACAAATCCTGGTTTCGGTTCTTCTGTGGCGCTCGCCGATATTGCTTCTAGATAGGCGGCGACGAGTGGAGGTATGAAGGTTTTCAGGTGCGTGTCTAAAATCTGGGGGTCCTCCTGGAATGGCTCTATCTGGAGAAGGTCAGACAGCCATTGAGAACATTGATTGATAGGGTTCATACCAAGCTGCATGCCTTGTACATGTCTGCTGTTCGGACATGTTGGCGGACGGGACCAAGGGCAGAGCCATGCTGCCGTTTCCGCAGTAGTCGCGGTAGCAGCCTCTCGAAGTCAGACAGGAGCGATGCAGATGCTCGCTGTAATTTCAGGTCGTCGTCCTCTCCGGCGCTCATCATGGAGTAAGGTGGAGTTGTGACGCACTTTGCGGGCGACGATGGGTGCCTTGTTCGCCGAGTCAGTTCTGGCAGGCACGACGCGTGAGTCTGAGTCAACCCCGCGACGCGCTTTCGCTACTTCTTCCACCATCACCACTGCGACGACTACGTCAGCCACGACAGCACGCAATGGCGGGAGAAGACTACAACGACTTTCTCGTTGCGCGGGTGATTACCGAGCAGAGGCCGGTCACCTACAGGCTGCTCAGCAGAGCGACCAGCACCAATGTCAACACAGCGAAACGGTTCGTGCAGCTCTCGCCAGCATCTGAATGCCGGCTCACATAATACAGGATGCTCTTCGAATTCCAAAAGAACCAGAATGCGCGGAAACCCAAATCGGTCCACGCCACCTACCTCGTAACTGGCACACCCAAGCGAACCGTAAAACCCAATGGTGCCCCCCGTCCAAAGCGTGAGGACGCCGACATGCGCAGCTCGCCCTTTATGAGCTCCATGCCCGAACGAGAAGAGCCCGAAGACTCTGATTACACCAGCGACTCCGATGACGAAGATACACCCGCACCTGAAGGTGTGAAAGAGACAAAGATTGTATTGGTAGGAGAGGAAGACTTGGAAAGTACGATTGGCATATGCTATTGGAAGGACCCAGCTGACGGCTGCACTAGAGACTAGGTCAGAGTTTGAAGATGGATTCACGGCTCACGTTTACAGTGTGGAGCCCGGCCCGCTCAAGGTACGAGATCCTGGGAGGCTTCAGGACCAATACTAAGACATATAGGCTATCCGCGTACTGTCTTTGTGCAACCACGAGGTCGTAACAGAGTATGCAGACGAAGATCCTCTA